GGCGGCGGCTGCGGCGGCGGTGGCGGCGGCGGCGGTGGCGGTGGCGCAGCGGCTGCGGCGGCAGCGGCGGTGGCGGCAATTTGGCAGCGGGGGCGGCGGCGGCGGCGGCGGCGGGCGGCGCGGCGGCAGCGGCGGCGGCAGCGGCGGCGGCGGCGGCGGCGGAGGCGGCGGCGGCGTCGGCTTGGCCCCCAGTAGCTGCCCATCCAAAGACGACTGCTGAATATGCTGAGGCTCGGGCCAGACTCGGGTGCTACGTATGTGTTGGGAGGGCGGGTGGGAGTGAGCAAGACGGCTTGCGGGCGGGGAAGGAATCTTGACCCCTCCCCCTATCCCCTCCCCTGGACGTGACGGGGCGCCCCGCGAGCGGTCAGGGCGTTCAACACGGCCTGGGCGAGGAAGCCAAAATCATTGGTTTTACGAGGGTGTTGGTCACATTTTGGCTTCCTGGGGGGGGCGCTAATTAAGGAACCTCCCTTCTTTGATCGATCTTCTCGGGGATGGTCCCACGAGCGCTCCCAAGGCTCCCAAGGGTGCCCCAAGGGGGCCCCAAGAGGTGGCCAGGAGGCCCCAAGAGGCCCCCAGGATGCCCCCAACAGGCTCCCAAGAGACCCCCAAGAGGCCCCAAGAGGCCCCCCCAGAGGCACCCAAGACGCTCCAAGAGGCCTCGGCGACAATGCCAAAATCATTGAGTTTACTAAGGTTTTGGCCACATGTTGGCCTCCTCGGGGAGGGGCACTGCTTAAGATGACTCCAAGAGCGCCTGGGGGAGCCCAAGATGACATCCAAAATGGCTCAAGATATCCCAAGATGCCTCAAGATGGCTCCCACGATGCTCTAAGAGGCCCCAAGACCGCTCCAAGACGGCTCCAAGTGGCCAAATAGCTCCCCCAGGAGGCCCTGAAGAGGCCCAAATCCTTCCAACACCTTATCAAAATCACTGTTTTTGGCTTTCTCGCCTTTTCGCTTCCGATGGCCACCCAAGGCCTCAAGATGGCTCCAAGATGGCCCAAGAGGGCTCCAAGAGCGCTCCCAAGGCTCCCAAGAGCGTCCCAAGAGGGCCCCAAAAGGCGCCCAGACGGCCCCAAGAGGCCCCAACAGGCGCCCAAGAGGCCTCCAAGAGGCTCCCCAGAGACCCCCAAGAGGCCCCAAGAAGCTCTCCGAGGCACCCAAGACGCTCTAAGAGGCGTCCGGGGCCGCCAAGAGGCCCCCAAGACACTCCAAGAAGAGGCCTCCACTGGGGGACCCTTCCTCTGTGTGCTGCCCATTTCCCTGATCGAGGCAATTCCTCTGGGCATCGTTTCTGGATGGGCTGGTGGGGCTTCGCGAAGCGTTTGGAAATTTATCACAATTGCGATCACCTCCACGATGGCCCCAATATGGCCCGCGAGGCTCCCAGGAGGCCCCCAGGAGGCCTCAAGAGGCCCCCAACAGGCCCCCAGGATGCCCCCAAGAGGCTCCCAAGAGATCCCCAAGAGGCCCCAAGAGGCCCCCCAGAGGCACCCAAAACGCCCAAGAGGTCTCGGCATCAAGGCCTACATCATTACTTGTATTCAGATGTTGGCCACATTTTGGGTTCCTGGGGGGACGGGGGCTAATCAGAACCTCCCCCCTCGTTTGCTCGATCTTCTCCAATATGCGCCCCGAGGCTCCCAAAGGTGCCCCAAGACGGCTCCAAGAGGCCCCCAGGAGGCCCCAAGAGGCCCCCAAGAGTCCCCCAAGATGCCCCTAAGAGGCTCCTAAGAGACCCCTGATGGACTCCAAGAGGCTCCCCGAAGGCACCAAAGGCACCCCAAGAGGCCCCTGGGACTGCCAAAAGACCCTCAAGACACCCCAAGAGGGCTCCAAGAAGCTCTCGGAACAAATCCGAAGAGACTCCGAGAGGCATCCAGAAGGCTTCTAGCCTTCCTGCTCGCCCTCCTCCTCCTCCTCCTCCTCCTCCTCCTCCTCCTCCTCCTCCTACTCCTCTTCCTCATCCCCTACGTATTCCTCCTCCTTCCTCCCTCCTCCCCTCCCCCTCTCCCTCCTCCCTACTTCTCCTCCTCCTCCTCCTCCTCCTCCTCCTCCTCCTCCTCCTGCTCCTCCTCATGCTCCTCCTGCTCCTGCTCCTGCTCCTCCGATTCCCCCTCCATCCTCCCCCTCTTGGGGTATGTTGTCTCACCCGGCCCTTTATTCCACTGCATGCTCCTCCACACCCCTGATCAGGGCAACTTGTCTGGGCATCGTTTCTGGATGGGCTGGTGGGGTTAAGCGAAGCATCTAGAATTGTTACCAGCGTCGTGCTTGTTATCGTTACATAATCATCGATACCATAGTGCGGATTCTCTGCAGCAACGGAGGTCAAGACCAACATGTTAAGCATTACACTGCTGCTGCTACGTTGAAGTCTCCTCCACCGCCACTGTCTGAGCCCCTGCGGAGGTCGATATAGGGGAGTGCCATTTTTCAGGCGAATATATGGCATCTGAGAGAAGTATAGTCAGGAATCAAAACGGCGCCATGCCAGAGCCTTTGCCCGCGCCCTTGTTTGCCTTCTCAGCAAGGTACTTGGCCGTCTCAGCCTCCTTCTTGGCAGCGTAGCCGGGCTTCTGCTGTTTCTGCATCTTGTACGTTATCACCTCAATCGCCGTCCCCAGGATCTCGTGCTTCTCCTTCAGCATCTGGTCACGGAGCTTTATCGTAGGCTCGGAAAACTTCACGGACCCAACGATCTTCCCGTTGGACTCGATCTTCTTCAGGGTCACCTCCTCGATCTTTGAGAAGGCGCCAAAGTAGGTACGGATTTCGTCCTCAGTGGCCCCCTCGGGCAAGCCGTTGAGCAAGTAGCGGGTGGTGACGTCTTTGCTCTCCCAGCTGGTCCTGTCGCCCCAGCCGCCGCCCCAGCCGCCGCCACTGCCGCCGAAGCCCATCTGGAAGCCGAGGCTCCACGGGTCGGCGCTGCCGCCCCAGCCCTTGCCCCAGCCCTTGCCCCAGCCGCCCCAGCCCTTGCCGCCCCAGCCCCCCATGCCGCCCCACCCCCCCCACGGGTCCGGGCCCCCGCCGCCGCCCCCGGTCTGGATTGTGTTGAGGCGGGCGATCAGGGCCGCCGACGGGTTCTTGGCCCCCTTCACCTCGCCGCCGGCGACCACGCCCGCCTGCACCCAGGCGGGCGCCGTCCGGAGCGCCGTCTGGGCGCGCTCGTCCAGGGGGTCGTTCTCCGCGAGGTACGCCTCGACGTCCACCGCGGCCACCGCGGCGGCGGCCCCGCCGCCCTTGCCGCCCATGCCCTTGTTCCTGATCCGCGCAATCAGCGCCGCAGAGGGGTCCCGCGTGCCGGTCAGGTCGCCGCGGGCCAGGACGGCCTTCTGGACCTCGGGGTCGGCATCCCGGAGCGCCTGGGACGCCTTCTCGTCGAGACCCTCAGCGGCGAAGAGGAACTCCTCCACCGCGGAGGAAACCTCGGAAGCCATCGCGACCCCTTCGAGGCGGGCACGGCTTCAATTGGCAATGGGGCTACAGCGGCTGCGCAGGAAGGAGGAGCAGGAAGAGCAGACGGACCGTATCGGGCTCGCGAAATTCTAGCGCCGCCTCGGTGCTACGGTCAGAAACTTTTGCTCGACGTGTCGCCGCGGCGACCTCGACGACACGCTATGCGCTGCAAGCGGAAGGCGTGTCGCTCCGCTCCGTGGGGAGGCAGGCTCGAACAGGCGCGGGACGTGGAAGCCCGGGGACCAGGAGGTGGATCGCGCGCCGAGCCGACGCGTGTGGTGGGCCAGACCTGGCGGAGCGGCACGCCTTTCCCCCAAAAACCGACCGCAGGGAGCTACTGCAGCTGTGGAGCGCCGTACACCCTGCGAAATGCTTTAGAAATCATGGGTTAAGAAATTCATGGTCTCAGAACTTGAATAAAAACCCAGAATTTCTATCACAATCTTTGGATTTACACTGAAACGTTAAGAATAATCGAGACTCTGGCCGAAAACTTGGGTTTTCTTAAGCATCGCCTAAGGTGTATATCAGCAGGGGGATCGCCGAGTGGCGACGCTCTCCTCTGGCCCGCCGAGGCAGCCCCCCAGCAGGAAGCAGCTTGCTTCGGAGGGGGTGCTGGCCTCTCCGACAGCTCCCGCCGTCTGCCGCCGCTGGCGGAGCCGCCCTCGTTCTACAGTCGGGGCGTTGACCTAAGGAACCCTAAAATAAGGAACGAGGCCCCTTTTTTCCCTTAAGTTAGACTTCGATTTCCGATCGAAAACATAAGGGAAACCTGAGGCAAGCTGTGAAACACTGAAGGAACGCGGAGCCCCTCCCCAACCAAAAGGGTTCCTTCTTCGGGGTCCCGACTGTACCAGGGGGCAGGCAAGGCACACGTCTGGGTCCACACGTGGGACATCTGGAGGCCATGTGCGGGACACGCATGGCGGGAGCCTGGCGTGCGCGACCACAGAAGGGCCGTGCTGCTGCTGAGACGCGTGGCCACAGGAGTGCCCAGGTCTCCCCTGCCGCCGCGCGGAGGACGGATGGCGCGAGGCGCTGCGGCGGCGCCTCGCCGCGCTCCCGGGAGCGCCCGACTCATTCGGCTGAATCTTCCCCCCTCCTCCTCCTTCTCCTCCTCCTTCTTCTCCTCCCCCTCCTCCTCCCCATCCTCCTCCATCCCTCCTCTTGGTAACTAGCTCCTTACTGTCGCACCCCGAGGCCGGTCGGAAGGGCGGGCCGGGCGATTCGCCTAAGACTTCCTCACCATTTTTAACCCTGCAGCTCAACATATTTCAAAAGCTGCAGCAACTTCAAAGATGGAGGGCGGGTGGTTTTCAACATGCGACTCTCGCCTTAGCGCCGCGCAAATTCGTTTCAAAGTTCGCCGTAGTTTCAAGGATGGAGGACGAGTGGTTTTCGACATGCGGCTCTCGCCTAGGCGCTGCGCACAGATGTCATACAACATGCAAGAGTTGAACAGGTGGATGGCGGGGGGTTTTCCAACATGCGGTTCTCGCCTTCGCGCCGCGGACATTCGTCTGAAACGATTGCAGCAATTTCAAGGATGGAGGGCGAGTAGTTTTCAACATGTGGTTTTCGCCTTGGTGCTGCGCACACTCGTCTTGAAAAGATTCAACCGTTTAACGTGTGGAGGGCGGGCGGTGTTCAAAATGTGGCTCTCGCTCTCGCGCCGCGCACATTGGCCACCAAAGCTTGCAACCGTTTCAGTCATGAAGGGCGGGTGGTTCTCAAACTGTGGCATCTCGCCCGAGCGAGGCGTAGAACTCGTCGTAAGAGATGACAGGCACTTGCTGGACGGAGGGCGGGCGGTTTTTTCAAAACGTGGCCCTCGCCTCGGCGCCGCGCGCATTCGCCGCAACAGTTTACAAGAGCTTTTTCGGAGTGAGGGCGGTTCGTTTTCAACATGTGGTTCTTGCTTAAGCGTCGCGCGCAGATTCGTCTCGGCAGTTTGCTGCGGATTCCAGGCGTCTCATGGTCTACGTCCCAGGAATGTTGTTTTGGCACGGTGTCGGAATGTCAGGGCGCAGCAGTCACGCTCCCAAGAACGGTGCTCTTGCACGGTTCAGGATCGTCAAGACGCAGCAATAATGGTGATTCTCGGCGTTGACGTCCCAGGAATGGTGTTCTGGCGCAGTTCTGGGTTTTCAGACGGCTGTCTTCCAACGGGGCACTTCCCACTCTGAAAAATGGATCCTTGTAAGGGGCCTGCGAAAAGAAACTTGGAGGGGGGGGATCTTGAAATACAGCCGATGTGTCTTGGGTTTACAATGGTACTCCTCCTCCTCTCTTTGCAGCAGGGCGCTCTCGCACAGGCTGCCCACACGGTGACTCGTCACGTGGGAGCTTGTTCGTGAGCAGAACATGATTCAGTATCAATTGATTTTCTTGTCGTGGCACATTCCAATCACGTCGCATAATAAGAATGCGCGGTAAAGATGCAAGGGCCTTGGAAATCCATGTTGATGTTTTTCGGACTGGGCGCGGCTGAGAACCAATGGATGCAAGGGTACCACCCCAAAACCCAAGGCCATGTATTTCACCTTCTGGCGCCACGGCGCCTGCCTGCAGCGCCCTCGATAGCTTGCACTTGCAGGTTTCGCTCCTTACTCGGTGATCCATGCGTGGCCCGCTCGATCGGCATTGCTGACGCACTCGGTTCAGGACAACGCCGCCGAGGAGGTCTCGGACCTCATGCCGAGAGTGTGCGTACTCGTGCGCACTGCATCGGGCATGCCGTACAGCCGCCGTGCTACCAGAAGGAACGCTGAAAGAAGAACAGAGGGGCTCTTTTTGGACACGGCGAGCCTCGGTCTGATGAACGGCGCGAAAATCGGGAGCGGCCAAGAGGGGGGCGTCCAAGAGGGGGGGGTGCAAATCATGACCGGCGGCATGTGCGCGGCCCAGCGGGGGGGGCAGGGACGTAATGAAATAAGAAGAGGCGCCATGAAATCTGGGGAAATATCATGGCCCCCGCCATGATATCCACCCCCCCCTAGTCATCACCCCCCTCTTTTCCGCCCCCGAGAAAAGCAGAGCCCCTCCTGACACCACGGTTGGAAGCGGCGGGGGGTTCTGCGCTGCATGGGCCCCGAGAGAATCGGTCAAGAGGGAAGGGGCCCTGGGACACACAAATAAATTCACACAAATATCAGGATTCCCCATATTTTCCCATATTTTCTAGGTTTTTGTCTGCCCCCCCACTTCCCATATATTTTCCGATATTCTCTGGGAATCGACGATTACTTGTGTCTGCGTGTTTCTTCCCCTCCTGAAAGAGGGGGGTCGAGGGCGAATACGCTCAAAATCCGTGCCCCGACCCAGCCCTGGGTCAGAACTGGCAAGCTGCTCGAGCCGTGTCCAGCCGCGGCGACGAGGAGGCACCGATCTCTCCCCCCTTCTGCTCCCTCCCTCCTCCCTCCTCCCTCCTCCCTCCTCCCTCCTCCCTCCTCCCCTCCCTCCTCCCTCCTCCTCCTCCCTCCCTCCTCCCTCCTCCCTCCTCCTCCTCCCTCCTCCCTCCTCACTCCTCTGGGCCCCCTCGGCCCGCCAGCCGACTCCCCAAAGCCAAAATGGTGTCTGCTTCGGCGTCTGGGCTGCGATTCGGCGGCGCACCCGCCGGTGGGGGGGGGGAAGTGAAGAGGAGCAGGCCTTCTGAAAGGCGGCAGGGCTTCTCAGAAGCCCTCTGGCCTTCTGAGGAGCTTCTGGTGCTTTCGGGGAAGTCCTAGAAAACTTCTAAGAAGGCCGGAGTCCTTCCAAGCCTTCTGAGGCCCGCCCCGTCTCACTCCCCCACCGGGCTTGCCACCGAAAACCCAAAGAAACACTTATTTCGGCGTCTTGGCTGTGAGGCCACGCGCTCCGGCTGAAGTCCTGCTGTTCCGGGATAGTTCGAAGAGAGCTAAAAGGGTTGTGAGACTAGAAGCCAGCACCGCAGGGTTGCCCCCGGAGCTCGTTCCGGCGGCGGTGCAGAATCCCCGCAGCGACTCCTGTGAAGCAGCAGCGTGTTCCAGAAGGCCTCTTCTAACTCTTCCAACTTGTTCCCGATACGTGTGCGGTTGAGCTTTTCAGAAGCTCCTTTCCAGAGCTTCCAGAGCTCCGTCGAAGGACCCTCCGGAAGCTTCTGCCGCCCCGCTACCCGGGTTTTGGATACTGCATCGGGGAAGCACTGGCCTGGGTCAATGCAAACCCAGATGGGTCGGGCCTTGCAGGATCCTGCAAGATCCTGCAGGAACCTGCAGGATCCTGCACCCAAGCCTGGCACCCCTGGCACTGCAAATTCCTGCAACATCTGGCGCTCCGACTGACCCCCGTTTGCGTTGACCCCCGCCTCTTCTTGAGCCCCGATCACAAGCGATGCCACGCGCTCCGGCTGGGCTGAAGCCCACTGCCTCCGACGCTGCGGTGCTTTGCGACGCGGGCCCCGGAGCTGCCGAGCACCTCGGGAGCGGGCCCTCCGCCGCGGATCGGCCCATCGCACGCCACTCGCGCGACGAGGGCCGCTGCCCCAAGGCCCAGACCGCGAGAAACACGGCTGCCCTTCGAGCTCCTTGGATCGGCGCTTGACCCCCCTCTATGGCGCGCGGAACGCGCCAGGGGAGGCGCCAGAGGCGCCGCCAGGGGGCTCCAGCGCCGATCCGAGAAATCCGCGTGGACCTCCGAAAGGTTCTGTTTGCGTACGCAGCCGTTTGTTCCACGAGTGCTTCAGAAGAAGGCCTTCCGGGGACCTGTGGCGGTCACTCGGCGGCAGCGGCTTCGGCGCTGGCGGCGGCGGCGGCGCGGCCTCCGCGGCGCCTGGAGCGTCCGCCGCTGCGGCGGGCCGGGCGCCGCCGCTGCCGCCGGCCGCGCTCGGGCTTTCGCAGGGCGGCGTGCCTTGGCCCCCCCTTGCTGCAGGGGTCGTCGTCGTCGGCGTCATCGCTGGCTTCGGCGACGTTGGCGGCGTCTTCGGCGTCACCGTCGTCGTCTTCGGCGTCATTCCTGTCATCCCAGTCGTCGTCATCATCGTCGTCGTCGTCGCCGTCGGCATCGTCTTCAGCGTCGG